CATAGAACCCCGGAAAAGGTTATCGTTAGGTACATGCTCTTTGGCCCACATGAAATGGCGGCGGCGAGCTTGCGGCTCGCACGCAACATGGCTGCCGCCCTGCCCCCACCAAGAAACAGACATTAGATATGGGAAAATCCCTTATGGCAAAAATGCACCGTAATATGGCCCAACATCTCCCCCTTTTGTTTTTGTAGGCTAGGGTGTGATCTCTGTCTTAAGTTGCCTGGATTGTCCAAGTCTTACCCGTCACTGAGTATAACACAGCCAGGCTAGGATTAGGATGCAGTCCCTGTCTTAGGTTGTCCTTATTTTTGGGGATCTTACCCGTCCCTGGAGACTGCACAGCCAGGTCGGGGGAGAGTAGAAGTCCATTTTAAGGGTATGCCTCCTGATTAGCCAAGCGCTGATATTGAACTTGAACATTCATAAGTTGAATGGTTTCAAGCCTCTTTTGTACAAACTGAATAAGTTTGTTAAGAATACAGGGTCCCAGAGTGACTACCATTAGAAGTAAAAGGAGGGGACCGAGGAAGGGTAAGAGATAGGGGAGGAAGCCCATTGAAGCCCATCCAAAAGAAGCTATTTTGGAGATCTTGTCGTCTTTTTTCCAAGTCTTCTTGAAGCTTCTTGATTTTGTCTTGGACGATGCCCGAGCGATTTGCGTAGAAGCAGCATTCTTCCTGTAAAAACAAGCACAAGCCTCCTTTTTCGGCAGTTAGTAGGTCTAACCCTCTTCTATTTTGCAGTACTACCCCTGCTAAGGAGTCTAACTGGGACTGAAGATCTAAAATAGTATTGGCGATTGTTTGCATATCACTGATTAATTGTTGGGATAATTTGTTATAATAATGAGAGGAAAATCCTATACCAGCGGTTCCAGTGGCCACTCCGGTGGCTACTCCCAGCCCGATGAGGAGGGGGAGTACTTGGATGGCCTCGCTTTTGTCTACCCCCAAAGTGGTCAAAAGCAGGGAGTGGGAGAGTTTGGTTGCTGGGAACTATATCAATATCAGGTAGTAAGACCACCAGGGCGCATAGGCCTGTCCAGTTAGTGGGCAGCTGAGTATAAGCTCGATTGCTGCCACAAACAATAACTGAACTATTATGAGCACATAAATGGGTAGAAACATTGATCAAAACTATTATTAATAGAAGGAGAGAGAAAACTGTAAGGGCTGCACTTGCAAAGGGGTAAATATGGAAAAGCTACAGGTATAGGTCATCCCATGACCAAGCATAGCCAGCAGTCCTGAGCAAGGTCAGGATAACAACATTCTATAACCTGTAGAAAGACAATGTTTAATAGGAGGAACATTAGGAGAAGAGAAACATAAAGGCATTTTCTCAGTGGAAGCTGAAAAATTAAAAGGGTGTGAAAAATGAGGTTTTTCAGAAATATTAGGATCTCCACCTAAGAGGCGAGAATGGTTAGTTGTTACTTTTATTTCTTCCAAATGGAACAAAGGAGAGAGAGTTAGGGTTAAACCAAAATTATGACTGGTAACATTTATATTAAAACAGATATTTAAAAACCTTACAAAATGTTACAACATATATCCATAACACCTTCAGTATTAATAATGCCTTCCCACATAGTTAAATTTATTAAATAAGCCAATTAGTTTTGATACATCTTTTAGATAACCTTTGAGAAACTCCAGGGCCCTTGGAATTTCCCAAAGTCATCCCAAAGTTTCAGAATTTAATGTTGGAAAGCTGTGTTAAATAACAAAAGGCTTAGAACATTTAATTGAATAAAATCAAACTGACAAAGGGTTTGAAAGGCAAAGAGCACAAGAACTTATCACGATAAAACATGAGATAAGATCCCTAGGCCAGTTATCTAAAAGACAAAGAAAAACCTTTTACGATTTGTAGAAAACTATAGAGGAAGAAAGCGGAAACAGAGAGGAGAGGCGGGAGGAGATGGTTATCCAATCAGGGGCGGCCACGCCGCGGAGGGATGGGAGAAAGTAGGGCGGGGAAAAAGTACAGAGTCATAGAACCCCGGAAAAGGGAGTAGTTAGGTACGTGCGCTTTGGCCCACATGAAATGGCGGCGGCGAGCTTGCGGCTCGCACGCAACATGGCTGCTGCCCTGCCCCCGCCAAGAAACAGACATTAGATATGGGAAAATCCCTTATGGCGAAAATGCACCGTAATATGGCCCAACATGATATGTCACAAACAGCCACACATGGAGGGGATGTTTAAACTAGGCCAAGGGTGACAAGGTATCTTTGGGTTTTAAATTACCTATGTCAGGCCTAAAAATTGAAGCCATGACAGAAACTTCTTTAAAAGAATTCATTCACAAACACATACACAAAATTAACTGTCATTATTTGCAGTAGTTATGTTCTATAAAGTCACTATGAACACTAAGTTATTGAATACTGAACTATTGCTCCAAGGGGAAATTGTATGTGTGTGTATAAATACACATACACACACACATCCCACAGAAATTATAATCTTAAATCCTTGTAGAGAAAGTGAAGAAAAATGATCAGGGTCCCTCAGATGTTCAGAATCTTGCAGAGCATTTATAAATATGCACATATGTCCAGGTGTTTCTTGGCTATTGTCTAATGTAGTTGCATACGTGAGCCCAGGGGTCCTGGGTTATGGACGTAAGTATAAAGGTTGAGTGACTCTGATGCACGGTGCCCCCCACCTCCAGGATGCCCCCCGGGGAGTCATAGGGAGGCCACTACTACTGCTGGAGGCTGTTGTTGCCAGTGCCCCGAGATGCCCTGAGAGGTCACTGCCACTGCTGCAGCTGCCACTTCTGCTTCTGCTGCTATTGCTGCTACTGCTGCTACTGCTGTTACTGCTGTTACTGCTGAGGACTGAGCTCATGTCATCTGCCAATGGTTCCCAGGATCTTTCCCAATTACCTAGTGTGGACCTGCGTGTGAGGGGTTTATGACCCAGCCTGGCATGTAAGGGGTCTGTGACCCAGTCTGTACGATGGGTTTGAAGGGTCTGTGGGCCCTAGCCCTGACAATACAAATGGAAACAGTATAAGTAAATAATGAAATGTTTTGGCTTTAGTTGTGAATTGCTTTATCAATACAATTGCCTAGCCATACAATTAGCGTAGCTGTTGCCTTAGCAATACAATCCTAAAAAGAATTTATCTTTGTATATTTCATTTCCTTTATTTTACAAAATAAGTAAATGAAGTTCAGAAATGTGAAGTGACTTGCCTGAGGCCATCTCACAAACAGTTACCAGAGTTGGTACTCAAACCCCGTCTAAACAGAGCTGGAACATTTTGCACTACACTGCACTGCCTCCCACAATCTCCATTCTTTGGTCATCGCTGTATAAGAATAGACACAAGAAGGAAGATCATTACCTTGTTTGACTTCAGATTGGAATGTGTAGGTGATTCAATTTTTTTATTATATTGCAGATGTCCATGAATAACCACAAAAGCATCTCAAGTATTAATTTTGTGGTCCTAAGTTAATTTTAGCAAGTAGACAGATTCACAGAAAAAGAATTCATGAATGATGATGATAGACTATGTATAAAAATGCATGCACATATATAAATTGATTTATTATGAGGAATTGACTTATATTATTGTGTGGGCTGACTAAGCGAGTCCAGAATCCATAAGGAAGACCATCAAGAACAGTGTCTTAAACTCCTGGCCACGGGATGTAGATGCTATCCACAGACTGAATTTCTTTTTCTTCAAGGGAAGCCTTAGTTCTGCTCTTAAGGTCTTTCAACTGATTAAATCAGACATAACCAGATTATATACAATAGTCTCCCTTATATAAAATCAATTGATTTTGGAGTTTAGTCACATTTACAAAACACCCTCAGGGTAGGATCCTGTTCACCTGTAACAATTTATGTAAGATTTTTTAAAGAAAATAGAAATACATATGCCCTTTGTTTTAAAATAGAAGAGGTGATAAAATAAAAACAGGCTCTAAACTCTTTAAATTTGAGACTTATGTCTGTCTTTATACTGATATGTCCTCAGTGTCTGGCACATGCTAGGTGCTCAGTATTTCTTTGAATAAATGGATGGGCAGATGATAATTTATGAAGATTCTACATAACAAAAGGCAGTGTTGAAAACAAGATATTACTTCATTCCTATAATATACACCTATAGCTTTTTCTTACTTAAAATTATGTATGCTAAAATATGTTAAACTTCCACAATTCATTTAAAATACGATAGACTAAAGACTCTATCAAAAAACTCTTAGAGCTGTTTAATAAATTCAGTAATGTTTCAGTATACAAAATCAATGCCCCATAATCAGTTGTTTTAATATTCTCCAACAATAAGCTAACAGAAAGACACATCAAAAAATGTATGCCCATTTACAATAGTTGCCCCCCCCCCCATAATACTGATAATAAAATACCTAGGAATTTAACAAAGAGGTGAAAGATCTCTACAATGAGAATTACAAACCACTACTGAAAGAAATTAAAGAAGACACAAAAAGATGGAATGATATTCCATGCTCATGGATTGGAAGAATTAACATTGTGAAAATGCCCATACTACAAGAAGCTATTTACAGATTCAATGCAATCTCCATCAAAATACCAATGATATTCTTCACAGAAATAGAAAAATCCTGACATTTGCATGGAACAACAAAAGACCAAAAATAACCAAGGTAATCCTGAGCAAAATAAATAATTAAATAAATAAAGCCAGAGGCATGACACTCCCTGACTTCAAATTACACTCCAAAATATAGTAACCAAAACAACATGGTACTGGCATAAAAATAGACACTTGGAACAGTGGAACAGAATAGAGAACCCAGAAATCAATGTACAGACTCACAACCAATTGATATTTGACAAAGGCACCAAGAACATACATCAGGGAAAAGGCTACCTCTTCAATAACTGGTGCTGGGAAAATTGGATATCCATATGCAGAATGAAACTAGACCTGCGACTCTCACCGTATATCAAAATCAACTCAAAATGGATTAGAGACTTAAGTATAAGACTTGAAACTATAAAACTACTAAGGGGAAATATAGGGGAAATGCTTTAAGAACTAGGACTGAGCACAGACTTTACGAACAAGAGGACAAAGCACAAGCAACAGAAGAAAAAGTAAACAAATTGTACTATATCAAACTAAAAAACTTCTGCATGGCAAAGGAAACAACAGAGTGAAATGACAACCTACAGAGTGGGAGAAAGTGTTTGCAAACTATACATCCAACAAGGAATGAATATCCAGAATATAAAAGGAACTCAAGCAATTACACAGTAAATAAATAAATAAATAGATGATAGATAGATAGATAGGTAGATAGATAAATAGATAAATAAATAAATAAATAACCCAATTTTAAAAATGGGCAAAGGAGCTGAAAAGACATTTTTCTAAGGAAGACATACAAATGTCCAAAAGGCACTTAAAAAAATGCTCAACATCACTAATCATCAGGAAATGCAAATCAAAACCACATTGAGATAGCACCTCACCTCAGCTGGACTGGCTGTAATCAAAAAGATGGAAAATAACAAATATTGGAGAGGATGTGGAGAGAAGGGAATATTCCTACACTGTTGGTGGAACCGTAAATTAGTACATCCTGTATGGAAAACATTATGGAGTTTTCTCTACTACAGATGGTTCTGCTATATGATCCAACAATTCCACTTACAGGTATAAACCCAAAGGAGTGGAAATCATCATGTCAAAGGGATACCTGCACTCCCATGTTCATCGCAGCTCTATTTAATCAAGATATGGAACCAACCTAAATGTTCATTAACAGACAGCTGGATATGGAAAATGTGATATATGTCCACTATGGAATACTACTCTGCCATGAAAGAAGAATAAAATTATGCCATTTGCAGCAATATGGGTGAGCTTTGAAAAAATTATGTTGAGTGAAGTAATCCAGGCATAGAGGGAAAAATAACTCATGTCCTCACTCATAAGTGGGAGCTAAGATAGAAAGAAGGAAGGAAGGAAAGACCACAGTGCTGTGTTGGACTTGCAGAGGGAGAGAGCACACCTAGGGTTATAGAGTAGGGTGGGAAATGGGGGAAAGGGGAGGGAGGTCAAGGATTAATTGGGTTGGGGACATGGGGAATAATCACAATTTGTGGTAAGGGGCATGCTGATAGTGTTTTCCTGGACATCACATACTGGGCACAAGTGGTGATGGTAAGCTTTGTACCCCATGAATATGCATAACAAATAAAAAATTAATAAATAATTTTAAAAAGTAGAATAGAAATGTAAGTACTTACTACACAATAATTGATCTGATTTTCATTTTAATGTAAGTTCACTGATGTTAATACGTTGTTTATTAGACAATTCGGGTTCTATATGGATTATTTTTTCTAAGTGACAATGCTTTTAACTTACAAGCACTCTTAGCATTTATTTGTGTATTACAAGTAGAAAATTTAAAACTCTTTATTATACCCATAATATTTAATTGGGGAGTTACTCCAGCACAAGGGACAAACTAGTATATTATATAATTAACTATTCAATATTTACATAAGTTTAACCCAAGTTATCTGGTTTACCTTCCATATATTTTCTCACCTCAATTAACTCAGGATAGGTCAAGGTGAAGTTAGAAATCAATTGCAGACATTTCCATTTCTACATATGATCAAACATTTGAGACAATAAACATTGTACTTTTCCTAAAATGTATTTAAAGAAGTATCAATATATAAAAATACATATGGCTATCAAAATTACTTTCTACAAGGATCTTATACGTATGTGTGTGCATGTTTAATTATTTATTTTCATTAATACATTTAGTCAACTGTATGACTTAATCTTTGATAAAATGTGACAATATAATTATGTTGCATGTTTTAATATTTTTTAACTGAATTATATATTTGAATTTCACCTTGTACAATATTTCTGACATGGTCAAACCAAATAGAAGATTATTTGTTGCAAACATATAGTTTAGTTTGGGTCGATGTTAATAATTACTTAAAATAATATGTTTATAATAGACATTTTCTTTGTGTCAGACATTTAAGTTGAATCCTTTATATGTTGTACATATAAATATTTATATAATTTACAACAAAAATATTTATATTTATATTTGAAATCCTTCTTTGAATACTATTTCTATGACAGGATAATTTAACCTTCGGTAATTTATATTAACCTCTTTTTACCACCAGTAGTAACTTCCTGGAAAAGTTGTATTACAATTTTAATTATTATTCAGTGAAATAAAAAATGTAAAATTTTAGCAAAATGTCTGGTTATTATGAAATGGTAACTTTTTTCTGATTTATGATTGGCATTTAAAACAAAATAATCACTTTTTTTTTCCTGTTAAAGTGGCTCTGCCAAGATGGTCATAACAAGTAAATATGAAAACAATGAGATCTTTGACCAAAGTTGTTTGAAGTATTGGGGGGAAGTAAATTGTGAAATATGGAAAGCTTTCCATAGTCATCGAATTTTAATTGAGTCTATAGTTCTCAGTCAGAAAACTGCCTGATGTGGAGAGGGAAACCTTTATCAGGTTCTGATGAGACAACGGAGTCCTTATACTTCCTAATTCCTACACACCATTGTCACCAGAAGACTGTAGCTTAGACAAATGGATAAAATTTAATCAGAAATATGTAAAATATTATGGTGGATTAAAAATTTCTTTTTGAACACTAAAATTGTGGTATTCGTGGAAATTTTAGAGATGAGAGAAGCAATATATTTCAAATACTTTTCTGTTTTACAAAGCTATAACTACTCATTACTGTATACCAATGTCTGATAGAAAAATTACCCCATCTATAGTAATATAATAAAAATGGAATCAATTATCCTGTTTAGAAAATAATGAATAGTTGTGATAATTCAAGGGTTATTTTATAAAGCTTTGTCACTTATAGTCTTACATACAACATTAAAATAAAACTCAGATTAGCATGTTGGGTACATACCAAATATGTATATCACACTAAGCAGGTGAAGCCTAACAATGTCATTATTTTGGTTGGTTAAAGATTCTGTATTGTTATTACTTTCAAATTAACAGCATATGTTAAATATAGAATATTTTCTATGTTAATTAAATCTTTATGGTTTTCCTTTTTTATTTAGTTTTTCAAGTCATGGCATTTATTTTTGTGCAAATAATTCAAATGCAATCAAAATGATACAAAGTCTAGTGCATATTTAAACATGGCTCTGTTTCTAAATTTGATATACTTGTTTATACCTGAAACAATATGTAATATGTCTTGATATAGAGCAAATCCCTTCCCCTCATAATTCTTTTTCTAGAATGTTTGGCTATTTTTGACTTTTTGTACCTCTATAAAATTGTTTTATAAGTTGGTCAAATTCTTTAATAAACCTCTTTGAATTTTGATTGGGATTACATTGAATTTATACATTAATTTGGAGAGAATTTACATTGTCAATAAAGAATTTTCCAATTCATGAATACTTTATAAGTTTTCATATTTTGATATGTCTGTAATCACTGTTTTTTTAATATTTTAGTACAGAGATATTTTATAACTACGTGAACTACCTCCGAAATTTTGCCTCATTTTGATCCTCTTCAGGATAGCATATTTTTTAAATTTAATAATTAAAAATAATAAAATTGCTTAACTTAAAAATATTGCTGGTATATATGAATACAATTTTGTATATTGCTATTGTATCTAGCAAGTTATTCTTTAGACTATTTGATCATTTACCTTATGTATTTTATCATCTGCAAATAATTCAAATCATGTTGCTTCTTTTCCTAACTCAGTTGTGTTATTTTGCTTTTCTTATGTTTTGTCTTATAGAATGTTAGCCAGTTTTATAGCCACCCTTTATTACAAAGAAGAATAAAAGTGATACTGATGCCTGCAGGACTTTTAAGATCCAGGCTTGCAACTAGCATGCCTTCATTTCTATTTTGTTCTCTCGGTTAGAGGAAGTCATGTGGCAAATACTGAGGTAAGTTATAGGGAGATATACCTCACTTCTTTAATGACAAAGACTGCAACTCAGTAGCAAAGGATATGACAAAAGGAGAGATGATGAATTGAGGCCATTAATACAAACTCAAACAGTGTATTTGTTTTTAGCAATTTTGAAGATTAATTTTTTCATGCTTCACTCATACAGCATGATTACTCTACATTGTGATCTTATTAGACAGACTACTATTGTAAAGGATGGGGTTGCCTGGAAGTGATTCCAGAGATAAAGTTTGGCATTCTGTATATTTGAGGTATCCTTGCAAGTGAATGAGAATTGGAGGAAACAAGATTGAGCAGAGGCAGACATCAAACTGCAGTGTGAGTCCAACAAACCTCTAGTGACTCACTGGGATCTTCTGGAGAGACAAATTCTATAAGAGTTGTCCTACATAGGTGCTAAATGTCCATGCTATTATACCATGCTGTGACCAGTCATAGGCTATGAGCCATCCTGGGAAAGCTGTGCCTGTGGGTTAAGACAGCTGTCCTCTGAAGCTGTGGCAAACTCTGAAGGACCTTACAGTTGTAGGTGATCTGTTGAAAGCATTCCTAGCAGCTGGGACAGTAATGATTCCTGGAAGGGGAATCTGAGCAAACGATCTCCCTGTCCACCACACCTATATTACTTTAAAGAAACTTGTTTTTCATTCCCACCTTACTAGGTATATCATCAAATTGTTCTTTAATTCATAATAAATATTGTCAATTATTATGAAATTATAGAAAAATCACAATTTTTCTCCTTTATTTGTTAGTGTGGTGAATTGAATATTGCTATTGTTTAAATGTCCCCTCCCAAACTCATATTGACTTTTAATTGCCATTGTGACAGAATTAAGAGATAGGAACTATAGGAGGTGACTAGGCTATGAATGTTCTACCCTCATGGATGGATTAATTTTGTTATTGTGGGAGTGGGTTTGTTAGTGCAAGAGTGGGTTTCTTACAAAACTAGGTGAGCCCTCTTTTGTCTCTTTCTCCCCATGTAATGCCTTCTGCCATGTTGTGACAGAGCAAAAAGGCCTTTCCAAATGCTGACACCTTGATCTTGGACTTCCCAGCTTCCCGAACTGTAAGAAATAAATTTCTGTTAATTATAATACTAGTCTATGGTACTCTATTATAGCAGCACAAAACGGACAAAGACAAATATTTTCTAAAATAAATCAAACCTCCATGTTTTTGATTCCAAAATAAATTGGTCTTCCACTTATGTCTTTTGGCTACATTCTGTATGATACTATCTCACCTATATTTCATTTAACTAATGATTCCCAGCTATATAGTAGCTATGGATTAACCTATCAATTAGGTTTTTAATTTTGGTTATTATAAAATATATATTTTGTACATATAGGAGTGTTTTTTTCCCTCTGCAAAAATTATAGTTTGTACTTTATATATCTAAATATTTTTTTCTGCCTGAATTGGTCAAAACTATGACTTCTTTTGTGGCCTTTGATAGTAGAGAAAGTGTGCTCTATTACTGGTTTCCTCTTCCTCTGTGGATGTAGATCTCTATACCCTATCTTTACAAGACAGAGAGAACACTTTATTAGAGTTCTTGCATGAGCAGACATATGCCTTGACTTCTGACTCCTTGCTTCCAGCCCCTTGCATGCAATTCTGTCACATGCAAAACTAAGATTCATGAGTTGGACAAGTGCTTCCAGAACAAAAGTTTTATTTCTCTGCTTAATCTTTGGGGTTCTGCCTTCACTTGAGCTTAGACTGGTGCTTATTATCTTGTTAGTTCTTTGGTGGATTAAAAAAGCAAACAAAAAAACCTTAAAATAATTCTGCATTTTCAATTATTTTTAATAGAAATATTTGATTAAAATAAAACTTTACACCATATTTCTGATAATAGAAATTAAATTCATGTATGAAAATCATGTCCTAAGGATTATAACACACAAATTCTATGCAAATAAACTTAATGGAAAAACAGTAGACTCCTGTACCAAATTTTCTGCTATTGGGAAAACCAGTGAATGTTACACATGAGCTTTTTAGTAGACTAATACACTAATACCTTTACTAATAGAATAATACCTTTGCAGGGTATTGATGGGTGCAAATTGAAAACCTACATTCTATTTACTTCAAAGAGAGGATTTATTATCTTTATTTATATATCAGAAAATTCCCTGAAAAGATCACTCTACATATCTTATAGATCTGTGTTTCTCAAAAGTAGAGTTCCAAGGTTACAGAATTGATGTAATGTACAACAAAGATTACTTTTAATATGAGAATAATAAGCATAAAATAAAATGCAATGAATTAGTATAGGAAATATCAGAATAAATTGTACATAGTAAGCATAAGATTTGCATTTGATATTTTTATTTCACCTAGATAAAAGTGGGATTTATGGAAAAAGTAGTTTCATGCTCTGGGTCAAGAAGTTTAAAAGTCCCTGCATTAGATAGG